GCGCACTAAGAAAGGATTTTACGTTAGTCCCGTTAAAAAATAACTTGATATTTTATATATACATTATCGCCCACTATCGTAGCTTTGTGTCGCCAGCAACGCAAAGTCCGGAATTTGTATTTAGAAAAAGCCAAAATTAAGGTATTTTTTTAAATTCATGTATTTAAAACAACAACCAAGATACCTGTTACTGTTGAGCACATGCTCACTTTTCTAATTCAGTCTTGAGTTACATAAGTTGCGTTGCCGCAATGCATGTTGGGTCCACCAACATCAAATTTTCTTAACATACTCTGCCCGAATACTGAAAATAACATGTAAACTTACTTGCTCTAAAGCCCTCTCAAAAATTAGAAGTTGCCTTGGCCCAGCAGTAGGACGTACCTGGCGACGCGAGATAAACATCTCACTAAATCATTAATTGTTTCTTAAGATAAATGACAAATTAATTTAAGATTATAAAATACTAATTTCTGAGAGAAATAAAGATATTTATATTTTGTATTAACTTAGAGTCATGCATTAAATGGAAATCGGCTATGTAATATGAATCAATTAAGAAAATTATTGTTTATTTTAAGCATTTACGTTTAATAATGTCTTAATAATTGATAAGAGAGAAGTTTAATGCTGAAGTGAAATTGTGTATGTGTCCGACCGGGATAAGCATAAATATTAGAGGAATGGCAAAAGCCTCTTATTTGGTTCCGAGGGTAGTGTAGAAATAAGATTATCAACTCACACGAGTGTTTAGCAGAAACGAAAAACGCAAGTCCGAACCGTTTCTTAAGAATATTAATAAAAATAATACTATTATTATATGAAAATGCATGTAATGTATATTTTGGATAGATTCTGTATATTTTTTTGATTCTTTAATAAGATTAATTTTTTTTAATAAAAGTCAATTTTAGTACATGAAATAACGAAATAATAAAAAATGAATAAGAAAAAGTTTTTATTATGCTAAAAAGTTTTAATTCTTGCATTATAAAATATAAAAAGTTTTAATTCTTGCATTATAAAATATAAAAAGTTTTAATTCTTGCATTATAATGCAAGAATTAAAACTTTTTAGCATAATAAAAACTTTTTCTTATTCATTTTTTATTATTTCGTTATTTCATGTACTAAAATTGACTTTTATTAAAAAAATTTAATCTTATTAAAGAATCAAAAAAATATACAGAATCTATCCAAAATATACATTACATGCATTTTCATATAATAATAGTATTATTTTTATTAATATTCTTAAGAAACGGTTCGGACTTGCGTTTTTCGTTTCTGCTAAACACTCGTGTGAGTTGATAATCTTATTTCTACACTACCCTCGGAATCAAATAAGAGGCTTTTGCCATTAAAGTATTATAGTATTAAGTTAATTGTATACTGTTGTATTGTTTAAAATAATTGAAATTAGTAGTGAAAATTATATTAATATAAAGTTTATATTCGACATTTTAAAGTTTATGACTAAGAAATTGCTTGTAAAATCGTGATTTTTAGAAAACTTTATCTCATGTGAACGTTTTGTTTTTATCATGTCTTTTTTTGTACATTGTGTGCAATACAATTATTTTGTAATGTTATCACGGGTAATAAAGATATGGTATAATATATGGAAATGTGATAGTAAATATTATCGGTTCAACTACGTTCTCTTTTTGGTTTAGCTTCCGGGGTAGGTTAGTAAGTCACCCAAATTGCAATTCGTCTGCGCCCCTTTTCGCCAAGGGGGATCGCTTCCGATACGGCAGAAAGGCCCTCCAGACCAAAGCCAGTCCCAGGTGGTGTCTAGTGGGTAGATAGGTCATTGTGAGTCTCTACGACTACGATTAAGAGCATTCAACATCTCCCTCCCCCGCTTCCCGAGGGTGGTCTTTGCTTCTGGGCGTAAAAAATTGCAATTCTTTCGCGACCAGCTACAGTTTCCAGTTATAAACCAAGAAAGAAAACGAAATTAGAGACAGTAAAAGGAAAGTAGAGAAATTACAATATCACATTTCCAAGGGGAATTTACGAACCATTGCTGTTTATTTGAAGACTTCTTCATTATCCACCCTAAAAGTAGGAAAGGGAATATATAGTCCACTAAGTACATGACTAACGTCAGGACCGGGACCATTCTTTACCCGTAAACCACTTTCTTTTGGAAAAGCGGTTTATCGTACTGCGTGTATGAATAACACTAGAAAAAATAAAAATATGTCTTACTTTAACTATAAATAAAAACTAAATATTTCATTATTACCTTTTTCGAGTAAGTACCTTTATTTTACTGTATGATCTTTTTGTAATAAGAGGGTACTACACTGTGTGTTTTTAGCTATTTATTGTCATTACCTACAAGCTTTTACTAAACATTTGTAGGTATGTGGGCGGGTTGGTATGTAGCAGGTACGCGAATTAAGTTCACAAATTGCAAGGTTTGAATCACTTCGAGTTGAAATTTTGTATACCGTAACTTCAGTGACAATGCAATAATATGATAGATATAACCTGGTGCTGCAGCCAGGATTGTCTCCTCACTAGGGAACTCTTCAACGGGCAGTAGCAGGGTCACGAAATTTTGTATGTTAGTTTAATTTTGACAGTTTAACACGATTTTTATCGTGAACTGCTCCTGCAGCCAGCAGTCTCCTTACGAGGTAACTCTTTAACGGTTAGTAGCATGGACTCAAAACTGTGTACTTAAATTTAGTTTTGTTTGCTAAACATGATCTTCACCATAAATTGCTGCTGCAGAAAGGATAGTCTCCTCACGAGGGAACTCTATAGAACATTATAGAGGGAACTCTATAGGGAGAGCTATAGAAAACTTTACGTTAGATTCAGAATTTACCACACCGTTAAAAGAAACGATAAATTATAAAAAGAAAATTATTAGAGTAAAGTAATTTGTAAAAAAATCTATCATACTGAATAATAAAAATATTCAACAAATGTTTTGTTTAAATTTTCTTCACCTATTGTGACCATATGTAATGGGACCAAAATAGGTAACTTTGCACGATCTTAAGAATCTTTGTCTCTGTTCAGTTTATCTACTCATGTGAATCATATTGTTGGTGCGGTTTATTAACCCTTCGCTATATTGAGATTGAAAATCCATATGTACATCATGTGTAAAAATAAAAAAAATAAAATACCAGTGTCTGTTACCGAATTTTATCGTATTTGTTTGTATTTTTGTAAACGCTAATAAAACACTATATAGAATTAATCTCATTATTTATTGTGTGTAACCTATAGACATTATTGTAATAAAAAATTGATAGGAAAATGAAACAATACAGTAGATATAGAAACATTTTATTATAAAAAAGCATCAGCCAATACATTAGAACACGTCAATAAGTATAAAATAATTACATGCGATCATAGTTAAATTATTTAGTAATATTTTCATTTTTAAAAGCAAAGAAGAAAACATTAACACCTCTTCGCAGGAAAGGTTGCTATCGCTCGGAGCCGCTAGAATCTGTATGCCACCACTCAACATCCCCCATTTTACGTGTTCGTGGCGTGTACCGTATGTGTAAGTGTGTGCGTGCATGTGTGTATGTGCGCGTGTGCGTGTGTAGATTATCTCTATTTTTAAAACTTTTCTAGTATTATTTAAAAATTCTAGAATTTCCTCAAATGTCGCTCGAGGACTTGACCTACTGAAACCCCCATTCCACCGGCCCCCCACCCTTGTTACGCCACTTGTGCTATATTTTTAATTTAGATTTACTTGTAAAAATACTTTTTAGTTCATTAATTGGATATTAATTTGCTCAAAATGAAAATATTACCAACATTGTAAACAAATAACAACTTAATAGCGAATATCACATCAAAATATGAACTATTTCGGTAAGGCTCGCCTTCAATTTTGATCTAACGTTTCGTCAAAATTAAAAAAAAAACACAAAGTTTATAACTAGTTAAATTTGTATATACATCTGTGAATTATATATCTGTACCCATACATTTTAACTTAGACTTAGAGTAATTACATATACATATACGTATGCATAGAGAGAACCCACAATTCTACATAAATTGAGTCAATATAATTGTCTCGCTTTTTCTAATTGAATTTTAAAATAAGGCAAAAAGAAATAAACTATAGAAAGATGTTGTGTGTAATTAATGCGTAGAAATAGAAATGTCAGGTGGTCATCTTTGGTCTCATTATACTATGCCAAATATGAAAGTTCACTCGTATCTTCTGATTTACTAGAAAAATCACAATGAAAACGTCAATCACTGAAAGTACAGCCTCGTGTTCACAAAACACAAGAGAGCAAAGAGATTCTTTGTGCTTGTTAAGGAAACTTCTTTAAAATTTGCCTTCAACAGATCCAGGTGCTCCCAAAGACACCAATTCAAGAATCTTTTTATCTTAGGCAAATAGGATTATATTCTTTTTGCGTCACAGACATGGATACAAAACACCCTAATTTCTTTATCTGGACTGAGAATCAAGCCCAAAAAGGATCTACAGAAATAGCATCTGGCCTCTTTACATACCTGTTATCTGTTGATTTTACTGGAGTAGAAACTTTGCGCCTGATTGCAGATGGTTGCGGAGGCCAAAACAAGAATTCCCATGTGGTACAATTGTTAAGTTTTGGGCTGCGCAATCATGCTCCAGCTAATGTTACCACAATCGTTCTGACGTTCCCTGTTCGGGGACATAGTTTTCTACTAGCAGACCGTGTCTTCGGCAGAGTAGAGAAATATTTAAGAAATAAGACATTCATATTACAACCCGGAACTTATCACGAGATTTATGCAAAGCATGGAATTGTACACATCTTGAATATAGACTGGAATCTTTATAATGTGAAACAACTAGAGCACTACTATAAAAAGTGGATAGTATTAGAGATGGGTATACTGAAAGAGAGAAAGTCCACCTCAAAATGCAGCTTCTACATCAAAGACAAGCATTCAAGACCGTGGTGGACGTCCTGGAAGAGGAGCAGGCCGCGGTCGTGTAAGAGGACATGGCAGAGTTCGTAGAAGAGCAGAGTCCTGCATTAACTCACATAAGTTACGTGATGAAAGTCTCAAGCATTTACAATGTCGAATACCCACAAAATGCAACATCTTTGCTAAAGACATCAAAAAACCACCCTACTCTTCTCCAAAGGCTTGCATGCATTCATGAAATTAAACAAAAGAAAAAGAATGATGTGGAGAAAATTTTTGAAAAGCAGTTTGGAAGTAACTGGGTTGAAAACAGTGAACTACAATGGTTTAAAACCAATATTTTTAATGTGCCAGAACCTAATAATGACGACCAGGGTGATAGTGATGATGAAAATAATGAGGATGATGATGAATTATGTGACTGCTACGAGCCTGACACGCAGGAATTTATCTAGGATTATAATTATAAGATTAAATTTTAGCATGTTACAAATGAATAATAATTTTTCCTACAAAATAAAATATTTTTTTTTTATTTTTAAAACTGGACACGTCCATCAGATTTTTAATCATAATCAGACACGTCCAGACCTTTTAAACAAAACCAGAGATGTCCATTAAAAAAAAAACAGCGAATATTTAAAAAAAACGAAAACCAGTCCTATGTTTAAAAAAATCCCTGCTAGTCTGTATTTAGGTAGTTCAGTTATTTGCCTATCCTGTAAAAAAGCAGTTAACGGGACTAGTCTGGTTTTGTTCGCCAGCTCCTCATATTATGTCTAAAATATAAATAAAATAGGACTATACTTATTATTATTCGAAAGATCAAGTAAATTCTTATCTAAATCAAGTGATGATGATAATTATATTACATCAATGGTGTTGGAGTAGGAAAACAGGTAATATGTTCGTAATCGATGCATTGGTAGTTGTGATCAAGCGACAAATGAGAAGGCAGACCCCGGTCGTGCCGTACTATTGTAGCCATAGAATACTACAATACACAATAGAATGGCTGTCAACCTTATTTTGTACGAGATTCGGCTTCGGCGGGAGCACACATACAAGCAATAATGTCGTATTCTTATTCTCACTACTACAAACCCGATTCGCTGTATTGACAGACGGATTTTAATACATATTTATTTGTAAATAGCGTGCAATTTGGGTACCGACGGTTTCTGGGAATTCAGTCGCCATGGAGCGTTTCACCGGTGCGGACCGTGCATTTTGTGTGCGCGAGTTTTATCGAAACAATGATTCGGCTACCATTGCGCGGCGTAAATTTCGAGAATATCAGAATTTACGCAACTTTAAAGACATTCCAAGTGTTCAAACGATTAAGAACTGGGTTATTAAGTTCGAAGAGAGTGGTTCGACGTTGGATAAACAACGGTCAGGTCGACCAAGGACATCACGGACGGAAGAAAACATCAATGTAGTGAAACACTCAATTCGTGAAAATCCTACCCAGTCTACTCGTAAGCGTTCCAGTGCATTAATCTTACCCAGAACATCGTTACAGCGAATTTTAAAGAAAGATTTACATCTTCACCTGTACAAGATTCAGATAGTACAGGGATTAAAAGATACTGACACTATCCACAGACTAAATTTCGCAAATGAAATGTTGAACCGCTTTACTTCGTTTAATAACGTGTTATTCTCTGATGAGGCTCACTTTCACATCAATGGCCATGTCAATAAGCAAAATTGTCGCTACTGGCTGGAGTTGCGAAAATCCAAATCGCAAACATCAAAAGCCCTTACATAGCCCTAAAGTGACAGTTTGGGCGGCTATGTCAGCGCATGGCATTATAGGCCCTTACTTTTTTGAGGACGGCAGAGGCCGCGCGCTTACTGTTACTTCACAACGGTATGTAGCTATGATCCAGGACTTTTTTACACCAGAGTTGCAGAATTTTCCAGGCTTCAATACGCGGACCTGGTTTCAACAAGATGGAGCAACTGCCCATACCTCTAACGTCGCTATGCCGGTCATCCGTCAAGTTTTCCCCAATAAAGTGATCTCTCGAAGAGGAGATATTCCTTGGCCACCACGTAGTCCAGATCTGACCCCAATGGACTTTTTATTATGGGGTTATCTTAAGACTAAAGGTACGAAACCAACCCGCGGACAATTGACGTCCTGAAAGAAAATATCCAAAGAGAAATGGCAAACATTACAGAGCTTACTTGCCGCGCAGTGATGGATAATTTTAAACGTCGCTTACAGGAGTACCGCGATCGTAACGGATTACATTTAGATGATGTAATTTTCAAAAAAATAATTCCCATTTTATAAGGATTATGACAAAATAAAAACCTTTTTCATAATGTCATTAGTTTTTTTTAATTATTTTTTTACATTTCAAGGGACTTATGGGCCACCCGTATATGTATTATAGTATTCTATGATTTTAGCCGTGCCCTCTGTATACGTTCCGTGAAGTCAGCCGTGTCGAGTAAACAAACACAATTACTATTGCCCGTGACACCCATAATAAGTCTAAGGATAATCTAGTGGAAATATACCGGCTGAATTTAAGTAAATTTCAGTGACCATTTCACGATATATTTCAAATTATACGATAGTACGAAATTCCGCATTATTCGATAAGCTTTCATTGATAAAATAAGTACATAACTAAATTAATCTAAATTAAATTAATTTAGTCTATGACTTAGTAAATTAAGGATTTTTATTAATCGGGTTCGTAATGTGACTATACCTAACGTGATCAGGACGTCCCGTTTTGAACGGGACTGTCCCTTTTTATAGTTACGAGTCCCGGTGCCCCCGAAATGAACTCTGGGACGCAAAATTGTCCCGTTTTCTGAAACCGCGTGAAAATTTGTGTTGTTATTGAAGCTGCAAAAAAAATCAACCAACTAAAAGACAATTTGACTTAGAAACAGACCAATCAGTTTCTTTCATTTACGGTCCGTCAATTAAAAGTGAAATCGAAAGATAATGTTACTGACATAGATTGGGAAGTGGTGAAAAGGGCGGCTACAGAATTTTATGAAACAAGTCGTAAATATCTGGAGCAGTGGAATTACTTTCTCACCAAATAAATGGAGATATTTTATTGGGCAGATTTAAAGAGTTCCGCATGAGAAGACGTTCAAAAATCTCTGGATGTATTAATTGAAAAGGAATATATTGACTGTAATAAATATGCAGAACTTTTTGACGAATTACAAATTTCAGTTCTAAAGGCAATGTTGATAATTTAGGTGAATATAAAAAAAGGTGCCAAGAGTTTCATCCTTACTTAATATCATCACCTGCTATATTAAAGCAAATTTATTCCTGTGAGAAATATAAATTAAAAATATAAATTTTATTAATATAAATTAAAAATAATATAAATTAGAAATATAAATTTTATTGAATATTTCTGTTAATTGTCCTAAATAAACCAATGTCCTGTTTTGAATCAATAAATAAATGGTCACGTTATCTATACCTCTATTGTCTTATGGATAAAGAGTTTAGTCATAAGAATATAAGAATTTTAGGACTCTTTCTATGCTAGTAATTACTCTGAGGCTGCTACAAGCTGCCGTGCCTTCAAAATCTCCCAAAAAACTGCATTGTGACACATCAATATAATGCGAAGAAGTTTTTAAACAAATTATAATATTAAGGTAATTTTTCATAATACTTGACGCTTGCTAAAGTATAGCAGTACGAGTCCATTACCAAACAGAAAAAAGTTAAATAATTCGGGCGGTAAATGGAGACGTCAATTTTAAATATTTTTAAGAAAAACATACTTTTATCCTATTGGTCCGACGGATCCAGTTCTTTATATTTTGCTTAACGTCCTTGAGCACAGTTTGAAATTTGATATTTCAAAACCTTTAAAGTAAAAAAATTATATTACAAAGTGACAAACAATAGTTTGGACTTAAACGATTAATATTTTCATAAAAAGGACGAAGTAAATAAGTTTTCGGTGGAGATAAAATAATGTTTTACATTTTCATGTTAGGGCTATATACATGATATAAGCAAACGCCTATCTACTGCAAGGCCCGACTTTAATTTATAATGTAGGTATAATTAATTTCAAATTTCAGTCTAATAAAAATATGAATTTGCCGTAAATAGCGGCGTGAAGAGAATTCAGTTTATTTTCATCTCATGGGTTTCGTAAGAGGCGACAGTAAGACTGAAGTTGCCGATGGCCGGCATGGGCAGGTAGCATCTACCTGTTAAAGAGTTCAAATAATAAATCTGCGGTTGCCAAATCGCTTGCCAACATAGCAACTGTGGCAAATATGAGGCAATGTATGAGGGAGGCCTATCTTCAGCAGTAGATTTTTACGGGATGTAATGAATAAACGAAAAAATTTCAAATAATTTAAATTAAATTTAAACGAAATGTTAGATAAGTTGTCCTAAATATTCTTTCTGATAACTCATTGAAGTAATATGTACTTACGTACTAGAACAGCCATTTCAAACAAAAAATGTGCGCTACTCTGTGTTCGCGCGGTTGGTTTTTTATATCATAGAATAAACATAGGTGAACGATCCGTAGGTAATAGTAGATTGTATTGTTAAATAGGTAAATTGTATCGAAAACAAATTTTAAATGTTGTCATTTATTTTGTATATTATATTTGCTTATTTAATATAATATTACATAAAATTATATCACATGATATTTTTATCTCAATATTTTAAGAGGTATCTATGTCAAATATTTAAAAAAACATACTAAATGTATGTTTAACAAAACTTTAATACTTTTTTCATTGATTAAGTATCTTATTAATAGATGACAAGTAATTCCTTGGTTTTTACTGACATTTCTTGAATTATCTGTGCAATATCTAAGTACACACGACGGCATATTTTTATCAAGAGATTTTTTTTAAATCAACACAACACGTGACAACTCTACAAGCGCCTAGCGAGTGACTGATTAAAGTGCGGTGTATGCACCGCAGTTGAGTGGAACAGAGTAGCTGAATGCAGTGTCGCCTCTAGTACGTAGTGCATTAACAGCTCAATGTGATAACTCGATTATTGCTTTTCAAATTTGACGTAACTATAAAATTGTATATAAGGTAACTGTACCAGTCTTGGTAAGCGTTTTATTGATGGTCAATTTCGAAAAAAAACGGCAAAATAAGAAAACTAAACGTTGTAGGGAAAATGGCAACATTTAGTGATAAACCATAGACACTCAGCTTGTGAAAAAATGACGTTTGTCATTTTGACACGTGACATTTGCAACATGGCGAGCCCTTGAACAGAATGCGGTGGTGAATTTATATAATTAGTGTTATTTTTGATAAGGTTGGTGAGTACTTCTGTTTATTATTTTATAATTATATAAGGGTTTTGAGATATTTCTTTGTTTTGATACTTAAGGTAACATACCTGTGTGATGAATGACACCAAAAAATGCACATATTTCTGTTTTGTAGACTTCTTAAACTGAACTGACCATTACTGGAACGTCGATTTATGATATTTCCAATGATGGTCAAATTGACCATGATGGGCACAATAGGGTTTTTAGCTTTTTTCATAAAATTTAGAATGTTTATCCACAGAAACTAGTTCAAATTTTATCAGCGCCTCGTTTGAACATACCGGTCCAGTAATGGTCATAGTTACCATTATTGGGGTGACCATGACTGGATCACAGACCATAATGTTTGCATTATAATGGAGTATTATATAATTTTTTTTGCTGTTATACAATTAAGTTTTAACCTTTATACACGACTGTCCAAAAAAGGGTGTATTGTTTTGCAAAATAGATATTTTTTATAAATTTGATTTCTTTGTTTCATAAGGTAACGATGGCACCAAAGAAAAACTACACGCCTCATCAAATGTGCCTTGCAATGGAAGCTGTTAGAAAAGGGGACAGTTATTCAGCTGCAGCTGAGAAATATGGTGTACCGAGAATGACCTTAAGGAATAAAGTAACGGGAAAGAGTCCTGCTGTCTGTCATATGGGTCCTCCTACACTACTTTCTATGAATGAGGAAGCCATATTAAAAGAATGGTTGTTTGCAATGGCAGAACGACATTCCCCGATAGGAAAGGAACAGCTATTAGATTCTGTTCAACTAATTATAAAATCTGCTAATAAAAAAAATCCATTTACGAATGACAGACCAGGGAGGAAATGGTTCGATTTATTTTTAAAAAGACATCCAGAAATATCTGAGAGAGTTTCACAAAACTTAACTACATCAAGAGAATCTGTAAAAGAAGAACATATAGTCAAATGGTTTGCAGACGTAGAGAAGTATTTAGAAGAAAATAATCTTCCAAAAGTTTTGAAGGATCCAACGCGGATATTTAATACCGACGAAAGCGCGTTTTTCTTAAATCCCAAACTTAAACGTGTTTAGTTAAAAGAGGAGAAAAAAATATATATTCTACGTCAGGGAACGAAAAAGAAAACCTTACAGTTCTTTTGACAGCCAATGCAGCTGGACAGTTAGCACCACCAATGATAGTGTTCTCTTACGAACGCATTCCCCGAGCTATTGCCGAAAGTATTCCTGAAAATTGGGGCATTGGCCGTTCAGAAAACGGCTGGATGTGTGGGAGTACATTCTACGAATATGTAACCAATATATTATATCCCTGGTTGGTTCAAAACAATACGAAGTTCCCCATAATCTTTTTTCTGGATGGTCATGCTTCCCATTTGACTAAACATTTGTCAGATTTCTTCAGAGAGAAACAAATTGAAGTTATAGCTCTATACCCAAACAGTACTACTGCTGCAACCCATGGATGTGTCGGTATTTAGGCCACTGAAACTGTTTTGGCGACAGGAAACAAGAAAATGGAAGACTGAAAATTTGGAAGAGCAAGTGAAAAAAGAAAACTTTGCCCCAATACTAAAACGTGCATTAGAAAGTATAACTCCGGACTGCATAAAAAATGGGTTTCGAGTGGGAGGACTTTTTCCTTATGGCCCAGACCTAGTAGACTTTACTAAGTTAAACATTCAAAACAGAGCATCGACAAGTAAAAGCGCCTGTGATTCTACAAAAAACCAAGCTTTTTTAAGCCAACTCGAAGCAGAAATCGTAAATATATTTAAAACGGTCTAAACTAGACACCTTTAACAAATGTTTTTACTTACTATGTCAGAATTAGCTGATGTATTGCCGACTGAAGATTTGACAATGTACACTATCTGGGCCAAATATAAACATTTGTGTGCAGTTACTGTTTCTGAAAGCAATACAAAAGCTGTTACTAATAAAAAAGATGATAGACCAAGTATTGAGCAAAATACAACCCGAATGATAACTGTTTCTGAACAAACGACTTCTCCTGAAATCGTGCCTCTGATATCTGTTCCTCCTGTGGAATGCCACGATGATAATTCTACGACATCTGCAAGGTCTTCTGCAGAAACACTTCAAAATAGAGATGTTTTCGTGCCTACTAACAATAGTAAGATAGAAAGGGGCAGTGAAAAATGTGGCACTAAGCAAAATCAGGACCTGCTTTCTAAATGCGCTATTAGTGACTTAACTTCTGCGCATAAAACTCCGACCAAAGTCACACCTTTGACATCTTCTGCTATTGCAGTAGATCAAAACGAGATAATACCATCTTCATCTACTGCAAGTTTTGCTCATCACATGCTTAATAAAGGAATTCTGGTGCCATCACCGTTTAAGAAGGCTCTATTTTGGCCAGAACCGACACAAAAGAAACGTAAAATATCCAAAGAAAAAATACCATCAGCTATTACAAGCAAGTCATGGAGAGAATTTTACGCAAAAAAAGATGCAGAAAAAAAAGAAAAGGAAGATATCAAAGCAAAAAGAAAACAACTACGTAAAGAGAAGAAAGAGTTAAAAGAAAAAGCCATAATTGAAAAACAAAAGAATACGAGTAGACGTAAAGAAAACATGAAGAAACGCAGACATGTCTCTATCACTTCCAGTGAATCGGATGTTGTAAGTGATGTGACATATGCGGAGACAGGAGGAAGTGAAATGGACACACCAGATGAATCTGATGAAGATCTAACACTTATGGACTTGAAGCTAAAAAACACTATGAATGAAAATGGCAATAACAATCAAAGGCAGTCAGATATTCAAGGCGACTCGATTTCACTTCCGCTGTCCTTGGAACAAGCTGATGCAAAAACGTCTGATGAAGATATAGTATCACCTAAAGTTATAGTAGAGCAGTTGCCTTATAACTTTTCTGTTACATCAGATGAAAATTTAAATGAAAAGCTGCGTTGTGGAATTCCAAAAGGAAATAATACTTCCGTTTCTTGCAACGTTTCTGCTAACGATTATGTAATAGTTATTTGGAATGAAAGGAAATACCCAGAACAAATTGTTTCTGTGACTGAAGAAGGGGCGCTAGTATCTTGCCTTAAAAAATCCAAAGAATTTTGGCGCTGGCCTGTGATAAAAGACTTACAACTGTATAGTTGGGATAGTGTTGTATGCCAAATAGCAATTCCTAAGTTTGCAATAAAAGGCTGTTTTATTATTCCAGAAATGGATAATGTATAAATATTTAAACATACTAAAATTCAGTTACGGTGCCTTAAAGTATAAATTTAATGTTCTATTTTCTTAAAATTAAAGCTTGTTAATCTTGTAGTAGTTTTGTAAATGTTGTACCTCTTTTAAAATACTTAGTTACCTATTTACTGATTTATAAAATATCGGCTAATTATAATAAATGAAGGAAGGGAATGATAAGAAAGGTTAAAAAATATCCATTTTGTTGTTTTTATAATTTTAAGGTTTTAAGATATACCTTCTTACTTATTACATCTTATGATTCAACACTTAATAACGAGACTAAAATCTAGCCTAGGAAGAAATGTTATTTACTTTTAACGACGTTGTCTCATTTTGATTTTAATATGATTTTAAGAATATTGTAAGATTCTAAGTTCAGAATTATAAATATAAAACATATTTTTTTAGTTTTTTTTAATATGAATAAAAGCGTAATAATAAGCTTAGTGACCATAATTGGTGCTGGCCATAATAGGAGTAAACCATAAATGGTGGGTCAACATTGGGTTTTCGGCCGACCATCATTGGCTCTGTCAACAACAACTTTTTAAAATTACTTTTTGACTTTTCTATTAAAGACGATACCAATTTATAAGCTTTCGTATGTACGGAAATCCTACTTTTATTAATACCAATAGTTTTGAATCAGATCTGGTTTTAGTTAAATAACAAAAGGTCGAAAAATAAAATTAAAATATCTTGAAGTGACCATGACTGGTGCGTTAACCTTAACTAATTAATACTTAGAGCTTAGCTTAGTTACTTCCTTCATTTTTAGACAATAAGGGTGAAAAGTGAGCACACAGACCACCTTTTTATAGAATAAGGTGACAAACGAGCACACAGTCCACCTAATGGTAAGTGAATGCTGTGGCCATAGACATCTACATTTATCCTCGATTAAGAATCAAAACTCAGATGCGTTGTCGCTGCTGAGAACTAAGATGGAATGCCTCGTTTCCAGTAAATAAGGTCTCCGGATCTCTACACTCACCATACGAAACACAGCAGTAGCTGCTATTTTACGCTGGTATTCTGTGAGAGCATGGAATGATGATGCATTGTCACCCCTGAGGACTTGGTGTCCAGTAAGAAGGTCTTAACTTAACTTTTTTTATTCAACGTGTAAGTAACTCAAGCAATAACATGTTGCAAATAGACAAAATCCTCATAAACTGAGAAAAATACGTGAAATTCTGGAAAAACATAAATAATCACGGACGTTAAAAATATAATTACTTTAAAGTAATTCAGTGGTTCAAAATTCTTAAATTATTAATCATTGTGGACGAATTTCAATATGGCGATTTAGTTTAAAAGACAATGGTGGGACCATATAATCTGAGCACAGAATGAATTGAATTATGTGATAATATTTTAGAATAATACTATGACAAACGTCATTAACAATGATGATGATGATATGATGAAACGAAATTAATCAAATGGTATTATGTCATGATGTTTTTTGTCATGTAATACAATTCTAAGTGTAAGTTTTTGATTTAATCCAACATACAAATCCATTTAAAAAATGGATTATTAATGGAGATAGACAATTATAAGTGTGATTGTTTTCATTAAAGTAGTTTACAAATACTTGCAGAGAATCGACTTTAATTTTCATTCGAATCGATTTTAACCGACTTCAAAAAGGAGGAGGTACTCAATTCGACCGTATGTATTTTTTGTGTCTAAGAATTTTTTCTAGGTGAAAATGAAAATGAAAAATGATTTATTGATTTACAATGATACATTTAAACCAGTTGCAAGGGCCTCTGTACTAGGTTGGGAACCTGTATTACTGGGTACCCCGCTCATCCACCAAGACAATACAATGTTAATCAATAAATAACAAAAAGCAAGGCAAGATCTAGCATTAGGAAGTAAATGAAATTGTGTGTGTGTGTGTGTGTGTGTGTGTGTGTGTGTGTGTGTGTGTGTTGTGTGTGTGTTTTGTGGTTGAGTGGTAGTAGCTAGTAGCTAGGTGAACCGATTTTGATGTTTCTTTTTTATTTGAAAACTGATGCTTATCGTGAAAATCATCAAATACAAATTAAATATGTTCCCATTTTATTTTATTATATTGAAGTCAGTTGTACAATTTTTTTAATTTTAACACTTGTTAAATAAAAACTACTATAAGAAGCTAAGTCTGACGTTTTAAAAGCTGCCTCCATAAACACAACGAAAGACACAATAACGTCTTTTGGTAATGCCGGTCACTCACACTCACATTAGCACAAATGTGCCGGGCTGTTCAGTAACGCACGCGATTGCGTGTGCCAGCGCGTGCTACGCATGTTTATTTGGCGTGGCGTACGACAAGCCAATAAATACGTGTATATAAATAGTCTAAGTAATAATTTTTTTTTAAATGTTTGTCATCCATCGTTCACTAAGGGCCATGCTAGTATGTCACACACACATGTATTTGAGGGTATGTGTATTATTTACGCAAACGGTTATTCAAATAAAAATATTTTCACATGTGAAATAACAACAGTCACTTGCAATTTACATTTTAATTACATGTAATTTTCAAATTTATATTTTTACGTGGTAGACATGTTGTAGCTATATTATGGTTGTAGCAAGAATGGGTCGGCTCGACCAGAGTAGGACCACACTCTGACAGAATACCGACGTAAAATGGCAGCCTAATGTTGCTGTGTTTACTGGAAACGAGGCATTCCATTTCAAGAGTAATAATAATGTCCTCCAGACCGAATTTCGGTCACGGCGGCCTGCCTCAACGGAGGCTAGCCATCGGCGCAGGACATGATTATAGTGTCCAAGTGTATGCGCAAGCACAGGTGTACTCTCTATTCCCTCACTCTCATAATCCGATGCGACGGTAAACCGACACGACCGGAGAGAGATCAGGCGCAGGACCAACGGCTTAACGTGCTTTCCGAGGCACGGGGTGAGACACCGCCAACTTCCTGACTCCGGGCAACTACTGAGAATTTCTTGACGGAAAAACTCAATAATTAATTTTTTGGTCCGACCCGGCATTCGAACACAGGACATCATGATCAGACCACTAGATCAACGTGGCAGTCAATTTTAATTTCAAGGGTAACAGTGCGGTTATAAAACTACTTCTTTGTGCAACTTTAACGCATTTTTGTGATTTAAGGAAATAATTTCCCAAAAGGATATAATTACTAGAGATGGGCCGAACATTCGTTTCATATTTGGTATTCGTCATATGCCGCAGCTTTACGGAATATTTGTACTCGGCCGAATATTCGGCTAAATCACCGAACATTCGTTAAAGTAGTATTCAAAGTGTCCACTGTAACGAGATATACGAATTGCTTAATGCCATGTCTTTCATAATTTTACTGTTGAAAATATATTTTATTAATGGTTAAATTTATTTGTATAGCGTTATGTTTTTGAGGCACTGTAGATTTATTTCAAATTATAGCAACAAGACATCTTAACAAAATGTTTTTGGAATCAAAGAAAGAAACATTACATTACATTAGTACATGTCACTTTACTTTGGTTGTCAGTTTCTCTAAAATAAGTCCAAATAGCAGATCTCTTGTCACTCATTTTTATCATATAATTATCCATTTTCACTAAGAATACAACGAAATACTTTTTTCTTACAAAAATAATCAGAACATAAGCATGTGCCAGCAATTTGCTTAGTACTAGATGATGCAATAACATGTCAGGTGTTGCGGAGGAGCGAGTGGCGGCATCCGACTCTAATCCCGCGGGCTTTACGGTAACAAGTTTCTACATAAATTGGTTAGGTAACGAGGTGACCCTGCCGAATAATATTCGACCGAATATTCGGTAAAAGTCTTACCGAACTTTCGGTCGAATATTCGTATTCGGTGAAATACATATTCGGCCCATCTCTAATAATTACACTTACTGGGAAACATAAAAGAAAAAAAGTAAAATATGTGCTTTGAGTAGATTTCATATCTGTGGACTTACATTAAGTATTAAATATGAATATAGAATCTTGCACAAAGTATTTTAAAAAGCAGAGTAATTTAATCACGCTTTACTAAAGTACAAGTAAATTAAAATTTTTATTTATAAATAAAATAATTTATAGTTGATTTTTTAAAAACTGCTTGACCAATTTCGATAAAATTTAAGTAGGACAACCTGGGAAGTAATAGCCTTTATAACAAAAGAAGAATTTTCCAAATCGGTTCAGGTGTCTTCGAGTAATCGGTGGACATACATTTAAAAAAAATCCGACTAATTGAGAACCTGCTCCTTTTTTTGAAGTCGGTTGTAAACAAAGCACAGTCAATTTTTACAATGGTATATACCCTTACCTATAACAAATTTCATCACAAAAATGGCAACTGTCTAAATTTAACTGTCAGAACAGAACTGCTTAACTAACCCTCATAAGTTATCCATTAAATAAGCTATTACCTGTCTTAATATAAAGGTACAAATTTATGTTAAATTTTAGCCTAAGAATATATTTTATCTAAGGATTGTATCTAATGCGGTATTCTCCTAATAGAGATCCTTTTAAATGTGATGCCTAATCTTAATAGTTAAATCTATAGAATAATTTAAGAGAATAAGTGATAAAGATCAATTAATAAACTAAGGTATCAGGTAATAAATGTAAACTTTATCAACTTAATCCCATCAATTAAGGCCCAGTCTTTAAAAATTAGTTTTCTCGCAAAATTTGCAGCAAAACAAATATTTTTTTATAGTATTTAAAAAAGAAAAAGTGAAACATATTTTACATTTATTTAAAGTTTAGGATTGGATATTTTCGAAACTGATTTTTAATTTTGTTTTGGTGTTTAAATTAATATCTCTATTAGGCGTTAAACATGCCTATGTTTTGGTTACATGCGTAAAAGGTCTTATTAAAGCCTCTGCTATGTACAAACCTCAACAATATCAAGAAAAGTATTCAGATCACATTTATGTACATATTGTCTACAATAATCTAATCTGGTCACTTTTTTTATAAATGC